AGAAAATTTCAGGGAGTTGGATGAATGTTGAAACATCATCACTATAAGATTTTTTTTCATTCCACTCACTCACACATTCAACATGAGCTTCATCCCCACTCTCTGGTTTCACCTCACTTATCTTTGCCCAAGCATAAGTAATTGTATCATCATTATCATCATCTTCATCTTCATCATCATCATCATCATCTTCGTCATAATCAACATCATTAAGAAAATGCTGAGATAAGATTAAGAGCAAGTTCTAATCATAATCTGTCTAAACCAAAGATAATTATAATGGAAATGAAACAATTTAACAAACTACAGTTGTAATTATAAATCAATTTTCTCTCTAATCATGGAAATCCTTCAAGTTAATCAGTTGATTGAAATCAAGTAATCAATAACAATTTAACTATCAGTTGAAAGTAAAAACAAACAACAAACGAATCCAATGTCAATCAATGAACAATTATTTTACTAATCAAGAAAATGCAAAAGTAAAAAAGTTAATAAAAGTCAATTTTTCTACTTGACAATTAATTAATTAAATGAGAAAATCGATTCTAATTGTTATCATTGTTGATACAATTTAATATCTACTCTCCTTTTGGCTATTATAATTAAAAGTTTTGACAGAAATTAAATATCCATCAATTGTGATAATTAATTTCTCTTTGCTTGAAAATTATTGTAATGATTTTTACTGGAATTAATTAAAATTGGATTGATTAACAACTTGAAACAACATGATTGTTATTTCATGAGTAAACATAACTGTCACCAATGAGCTAATTTTTTTTTCAACCTAATTTAAATATTGTCACAATTTGATCAACAACATTAATTGAACTTTTGCTCGATAATTAGTTCAACAATCAATCATTACCTGGACATTTAATCTCATCTTATTATTATAATTATAATTATTATCATGATGAATCCAATCACCACACGAATTGAAAAACTTTACATATCAAAAACTGTTGATTTGTGATTAAACTACAATCTATGGTAATTAACTTTGACAAGTTTAATTAACACACACTCGTATCAATCTGATTACATCCTTTCCTTGGTCATCTTTTCATCCTCATCATTTTTCTTGATCCATTTTTTTTTTCTTCATCTTGTCATCTGTTTATGATTATAGTTAATATACCGGCAGGCAATAGATGAAAAGTTTTCACCATCAGGAGCCTCTGAATTTCAGGTAATCAGAATTCATCTCATTGTTCAATTGAATTGTGATTGAAAAAAAGCTGATTAAAAGACAACAAAGAGTTAATTATATTTGTAATTATAATACATGTATATTTACCTCTTATACTGTCATTTTCATATGAAAAAATATATTATACTAATTAGCAGTTTACTAATTGTGTTAATCAATTATTATTAGAAGGGAAAAATTTTCAATCTCAATGTTTCCCTGATTATAAAGGGAACCGGATTTAGTATTTAATTTGCCTCAAGTGTAAAATGAAAACCTTTAATTTTTGATTATATTGGATGAACAATTTAATATTATTATTATTATTATAAGGTAATTAGGCTAATTGTGATCAATGGTGATTAAATTAAAGTCTTGAGAGTTAATTTTTTTTTCCGCCTTTCCTTTGGTGCTCAATTACTTTACTATTATATATTATCAAGCTAATTGTTACTATTATATCAGTAATCAATGTATTATTAAAATGGTTTTATAATATTAATCTGATGAAACCAAATAAAATTAAAAGGATGAAAATTTAACTTTGATTAATTAAATTATTTATAATTATTATCATTATTTTTTATCTTTAGATTAACACTTAGTTAATGTTTATCATTATTTTTGATTGTTATCCAATAACAATTAACTCAATCAAAATGTTAATACTTTTATCCTCACGAGAATTTGTTTAATTGTAATCAAAAAAGTTTCGATAAAGTTTAAAGTAACAATAAAAAAGTTCTAATTCCAATGGTGAAAGTTTATTTAGAATCTCATTGATAATTTAGTTTATTTTTCTTTCTTTTCACAAATCATCGAATTGTAATTGTTTAATAAATAAAAGAAAAGTAGAAAAAGAGGGTAGTTAATTTAATTGAATTTAATCTCAATTAGTTGTATGATTACAATCAAATGGAATCAAATCAACTTTATTTATATTCCAATTCTCTTGTGTCAATTTTAATTATTCCTTTTGATTTTCTCAACAGTTTTAATTGGCTTCAATTTCTTTCGCCAAAGTTGCTAATTTTCTTGCTTAAATCCTTACATTAGAAAGAAAATAATTAAATGTTTTTAATCACAATCAAAGACAATCAGTTGATTGTTGTTCTATTTGGCGCCATCTATCAAATTCTTCAGCTACTAAAACGGTTACCATATGATTTTAATTTCTTGTTGTTAATTGTTGGCATTTTTGGTTTATTTACATTTCTCGTTTAATTGTTAACCCATTTGTGATTAATTGTTCAATTTTATTAACTGTGATTAGTGTTAGTTGATGTCTCTGTGATCTTATGGTGTTGCATTAACATGGGAATTGATGGTCTGGATTATATTTGGAATGATAAATTGGTAAGAATTTTTTATTTTCCGTTCATGATTGAAAGTCTATTTTTTCAATTGCTTCAATTGATTAATAATGTTGATATATTTGACTTTCATATTTCTAATTCCATGATTTTATCTTCTTCAATCTTTCTAACAGATTCAACAGACTTGAATTGATTGGGCTCCATGTGAATATATTTAACATTGATTGACTTGATATTTTGATATTTTCACTTGTCTCTCTCTTTGATTTCTATTACTATTATTATATCAGAAGCTAATTTAGTTGATTGGATCATGATGATGATGATGATGAAACGAAGACATTTTCAAGTTGATCATCATCCATTATCAAGCTAATATGTTTCCTGTCTTTAAGGTTATTTATGTCTATCTACTGGTTAACCCTTATGTGGAACCATCAAAAATTGACCAACGGGTGATGCCAAAGAAATCAAATGAGATGATGATGATGATGTTACCCAAATGATTACAAACCACTCAATTTAACGAGAATGATAAAGATATATTTATGTGTATAACCAGGAAAGAAGAAGCAACAAAAAAAAACAAAATCACATTTGATGGGAATTAATGAAAACATGGTTAATATACATGAACTGAGGCAAAAGGAAACATTAACCCTAAAGGCAAATGGAAACAAGACTTTTGATACAAAAGGGGGAGAGAGAAATGAAGATGAACAGGAACATCAACATCAACATATCCATCATTATCAATAGATTATGATGGGTCAAAAGTAAATTCTGGTTGAATGGAAAACACAATTAAACCTGAAACATGATGGAAACAATAATGAACCACCAAAAGAGAGATGGAGGAAAATTACAATTGTAATCAAATGATTGAACAAATTATGGAACAATTTGGAAAACCACTGGAGATGATGGAAATGGAAAAAGATACCTGAATAATCATATCAAGCTCTCAGTAAATATTGGGTAAGAATCACAATTAACATCATCACCGAGAACATTAACTTTTACAATCAGTGGGCTGATAGTGTAAACATTGGTTGTAATACTTTTTTCATTTCCAATGGAAAACAAAAGGTAAAATTTACGTGACTTTTAAACGTAAACAATTAGAGCTCATCCTTAATGAGATAGAGAGAGAGAGAGAAAAAAAACCAACATTCGACAAAAAGAATTCATCAACTATTCTTGTTGATTACTGTTAATTTTATTGTTTCTCAAGCCCAGTGATTAATGTTAAGAGTTAATTGTTTTAAGTGATGATGATGGTAAAATGTTGGAAGTAAATTAATAGTTGCTGGAAACGAAAACGAAAACGGAAACCATTACCATTTCAATTGGAAATTAATTTCTAATTGTTTGATAATTGATTTCAATAGAATTTAAATGTGAGAAGATGATTGTATTCGGTAATCTATTGAATTGATTGGTGAACTTTTTTCTTTGTTATGTTTTTCATTTTCATTTCTCTTGTACAATCGTTTAGTTCCGGAAAAGTTTACTTTTTTTTCATGTTCATTTAATTGTTGAGAATTTTGTTTTCTCCATAATTTACTATCTAAATTGAACAAACAAACCATTTTTAGATTGTTCGCCTTTTCATGGCTATTAGGAAATTCTCGCAGAGAATGAGACTCTGTTGACTGAACTCTCTTGGATTATGTATTATTATATTCGAGGAGAAAAATATTCCAATGGGATTGGTGCCAAAATCTATTCACTTCACTTGGGTGAACTCCTAGGGTATATACCCAATGGCCACACAATCAACTATTAGTTTAAATACACATATTTACGTTTTAAACTATTCAATTGATTGTGTTTAAATAGAAACAGTTAATCAAATGGTTAACCAGTCCAATGACACCTAAAGAGTGAGAGAGGGAGAGACATGGAGGGTTAGAGACACACACATGCACAGCGATCAATCCAGTCACTTTGAACAGCACTTTGGTTTTTACCAGTGGAGAAAACAAAACAAACAAATTGATTCATTAAGAATTAATTTATCCATCAACATGAAAACAGATTAAGAGAATTATAATGAAAAGAAGAAAAAAAAATTATTCCAAATTGATCAACGGGAGAGATTGAACATCTAAACATGAAGACAAGAGTTTCCATCTTGTTTTCAATGTTGTGTCAATTGATGGAAACCATTCCCATGGAATAATTGACAATTATCTCGTTCCCTTCATGATATGAAAAAAAAAATTCACCATCTGATTAAATAGAAGGATTTTAATTTGATTATCTAATTAAGAAATTGAGAAAGATTTTCCAATTGATATGTAAACAAACATTCTTTTCCAATAGATGGCGACAGGTTTCATCTTCTACCATTGGGTTACATTAACTGAGAAAAGTGTGAGCTTTGGCTAAAAGATGCACTTTTCTCTTTCCTCGTTTTCTGATTGGCTCATTTTCCTGGAACTGGTTAAATAGGAAGAAAAGTTTTTTTCTTTAAAGAAAAATTTTATTTTTTTTTTCTTATTCGACTTGATCAATTTACTCTTGCAACTTAATTTTATCATCTTTTTTTTTTCTATTTGTATGTTTCTTTTCTTTTTGATTTATTTCTAAATTTTTAATTTTGATTTAATGTCATCTTTTAATTCCACTTTCAAGGAATTAAATTATCACTCATGTGAAAAGTGTTTACGGTGATCATCTTCTCTCTCTCTCTCTGTGTTTCATATCATCTCTAGAATTTGCCAATATTCATCTCAATGTTTTATTTAAAAATTTTCTCTTCAATGTTATTACCGATCTTTTTTCTTATTTTCTTTTCTCATCATGGATTGTAAGTTAATCATTTTATCTTCGCTCATCGATTGTTTTTTTTTCTCTTCATCAGTTTTCTTTGTTTCCCTCTATTGTATTTTCAACGATTCGATTTGTGACCTTTTTTTGTCTATACTCTTGTTTTTCTTTTTCTCTCATGTCTTGGTACTAATTTTCTTTTTCAATCTCTCTTACCTTCTTGTATTTCTGTGTATTGTTTTTTACTCAGAACTCAAGACTTGTTTAGCTACACAATCCTAGCACCGGAAAAGATTCGTGCAAACTCGGACTATTTTATTTCCATTTCTACTCACAATAACCATGGACCCATCAATTTTGATGCAACTATTTCTGGACATGAAAATTCATCTCACCTAAATACCATCTCTCAAAGTGTTACCTTAAATGACGATGAGACCAGATTGGTTCGTTTTGGTGTTGGCCCTTGGGGTGCTGGTAACTATAAGTTAACCGTTAATGGCCAAGGAAATGGGTTAACCTTTAAAAATGAAACAAAACTTGTCTATGAGAGTAAAAGTTTCTCTGTGTTTATTCAAACGGATAAAGCGATCTACAAGCCTGGTCAAAAGGTTTTCTTCCGTGCAATTATTGTTCGTCCTACTTTAGCAACCGCTGAAACTGGTGCTAATACTGTTTACATTGAGGATGCTAAAAGTAATCGTATCAAACAATGGGATCGGGTTTTCACTTCATTTGGTGTTCTCTCATTTGATTTTCAACTTTCAGAAAATCCGGTTCTTGGTGATTGGACCATAAATGTTGACATTGATAGTAAAATATTTAAGAAAACTTTTACCGTTGCTGAATATGTATTACCCACTTTCAGTGTTGACGTAAATCTACCAAGTTATGTGACCTACAATAAATCTGACCTTATCGTTAATGTAAAGGCAACTTATACCTATGGAAAACCAGTTACTGGTGAGGTCACTTTAACCGTTCAACCAAGGATAAGATATGGATCTCTAACTACTCGTCCCCTAGAACAATATCAAGTAAAAGCTAAACTTGATGGTTCAGTTGATATTCCAGTTGATGTTATTCGAGATGTACGATTAGCAAAAGATTTCTATGATCGAGAGATTGAATTTTTTGCACTGGTTGAAGAAGATTTAACTGGCCGTAAATATAATAAAACCTCAATCCTTACAGTTTACGATAAAGAGATAAACATTGAACTAATCAAATCATCACCATACTATAAGCCCAATCTTACGATGACCTGTTACCTTAAGGTCGCTTATCGAGATGATACACCGGTTGAAGATAATGGTCCACCAGTGAAAATAATGTATGGCTATGGTTATAATGAAGAAGAGTATACCAATGTTATTGAACAAGTTCCCAAAAAAGGGATCATCAAGTTTGAATTTACACCAATCTCATCGCCAACATCAATCATTGGAATTAAATCTGAATATAAAGGTCAAACTTATCATTTCATGAGTTTGGATATGTTTCATTCACAAAGCTCCAAATTCATTCAAGTTGGAATTGCTGAAAATTCAAAACCTAAAATTGGTGAATTCTTGTCTCTCAATGTTGCAACCACCGAACCAATCGATCATTTTGTGGCCATCGTCATGAGTAAAGGGGAAATTTGTCTTACGCAAACATTTTTCGTTAAATCAGGTCAACAACATGTCTTCCAATTTCTGGTTACCCATTCAATGGCACCAAAATCTCGTCTAGTTGTTTACTATGTAAGACCAAGCGATAAAGAGGTTATCGTTGATTCCCTTTCATTTGATGTTGACGGAATTTTCCGTACCAATGTTGAAATTGAAGCATCTAACACAAAAGCTAAACCTGGTGAAAAAATCGACATCACCGTTAAAACTAATCCGAACACTTATGTTGGTGTATTGGGATTAGATCAAAGTGTTTTACTCCTTAAAAGTGGCAATGATATAACTCGAGATGATGTAATTGCAGAATTGGCAACCTACGATTCCAATTATAATTCCGATTCAACTGACCCATTCAAGTCTATCTATAGAAATTCCTTCCCCTCAGAAAGTTCAGCAGCAAGTACCTTCCATAGTGCTGGACTTATTGTCCTTTCCAATGGAATCGTCTACGATTATATAACACCTCGTAAGTGTCTCTCTCTTTGTTATTAGACTGTTTTCCCCTATTCTTTTTATAATCTTTCATGTTTTCAATTTAAATTCCATATTCTTTCATTTATTTCAAAAAGAACTGGTTGATCTTTTGATTATATTATTCAATTATTCATCTTATGGGTAATTAATTGTTTCTCATTAACCTTGAAACTTTTTTTTTCATCGTTTGAATTATAAACCATTATCGTCATCACAAGTTGATAATGATGTTTATCATCATCAAAGTAATATCAAGTTTTAGCAAATTGAATGGATTATTTAGTTTTAAAGCTTAGATTTTGTTGGTTATTTTTGATTCTATTTCTGGTATTAGATTTTTGCATGAAGATACAATTTCCATCAACTATCAAAATTAGTTCACAAATATCGTTAGTCAGCAAGAATCATATTCTAAATTTACTATTTAAAAATCAATAATTATCATTCTTCAGTTGGTATAACACTTCTAACTCCCTTGAATTTTACAATTCTAATTAATTATTCCAATTAATCACTAATCTCTCTCTCTCTCTCTCTTTCTCTATCTTTTCCCGTTTCTTCATCAAACTACTAATTATCTCTAACTACTGGAATTAAAAAGTCTACTATCGAAGCAGTTTTGCCGTTTCTTTTGCTAGTGCTTATGACGATGGAGTTCCTGGTGGGCCTGCTCCTGAGAGTGTAAAAACTATCAGTCAACCCAACTTTCCTGGCATTTCTCAGGTTGCAACAGTGAAAGTGAGAAAATATTTCCCTGAAACCTGGTTATGGGAAAATGTAACCACTTCTGGGTAGGAGTATAATCAAAAATTTAATCTCATTAACAATTGAAAGTTATTGCGCCTTTTCAACCCTTCTCAATCAAACAACTCCCACTACAATTAAATTGATAACTTTTCCATAACAAAGCAGCAAACATCATCTAACCAAAACATCAACAAACTAAAACCATCACTATTAATATCACCATCCACTGAATAGTTGATATTATGAGTAGTAATATTTACCCAATAGCCTTATTTATCAATAGACAAAATATACAATTGAACAAGATGATCGTCGATGTATTTGTTTGTGAAAGAGGAAAGAAAACACCATGAAACCTGTTTTTCTTTTTTCTTCTTTTTTTTCACCATATTCTACAAAAAGAATAACCTTCAATCCTGAATACTTATATATCATGAAAGTCTTATGACATTCAAGTTTCAATTTTCAATTCAGCATATTGTTCAATCATTGATTAATCAATATGTTCCATGTAACTGATTCTCCTCTTTTTTTTCAAGATTAACTTGAGTCGAGTTTGCAAAAATTTAGTCTCTCTCTCTCTCTCTCTCTCTCTCACCCTCTTGATTTCAATTAATTTCTTGTAAATCATTGACAATTTGTCAACATTGAATTTCCCAGTTGATTGAATACTGTTAATTTAATGATCAATTGGTAATAATTTTTTATTTCTTTTCATTGAATTGACAACTTAAAAAGAAAGATAAATAATATTGAACAACTTTCTGATTCCATAGAAAAAAAAAGAAATGATCAAATCAATAGAGAATCTTTCAAGCTCTGTTTTGATTGTCTAATTAGATTCTGATTGTTCCAACGAATGAATCAATCTTTATTCATGGTTATGTAAACAAGAAATATCAATATTTTCATAAATTCTTGTTTCATCTATGGGGAAATAGTTGATTTTTTTTCTTCTTCTCTATCTGGTAAAAACCATTCAATAATTAGTTCTGATTTTCTCTCGATATTTACTTTACCCTGAAATATGATCATATCCTGATATTCATCATTAGCCTTGAATTTGAATTGTGTTTAATTATTTGTTACATTCTATTTGGTATACCAATCAAAATGTCCAAAATTATTTACATTGTCATCTATTCTCATTCATTTCTCTTTTGATTCTCTATTAATTGTACTTTACCGATCACTTCATCTCTTCAAATGATAATCTTTACGTTACCTTGATTATCACAGGTTTTGGAAAGTCAATATCCGGCCGACCTGTTCCACTTTATTTACCTGGTATGTTTAATTAACTAATGATTTCTCTTTTTTTCTCTCTCTTTATTCAAATGAAAGAATAAGAAGAAAAAAAAATCAAAAGAGAAAATGAATAACCTGTAAAACCATGAAAAAAAAAGACAAAGAGCTGGAGCAAATTCCCACTCTAATTACAGAATCTTAACATTTCACAATAATTAGAGAACAGCTTTTACCTGTTCAGTGTTAATCACAAATCTAATTTAGCTATTGTTTTTTTTTCCTCATCTTTACAACTTTTCTTTTCTTTACATCATCATCATCATCATCATCTTGTTACATCTTCATTGTTTCACTAGCCCCTACAAGTATCGCTATTGATGACAAGCTTCTTGATCACCGTCTCCATTTGGCTAAAATAGTTTTACCTGAAAGCACCGATACAAGGATAGTATTGAGAAAACACTTCCCTGAGACTTGGCTTTGGGATAGCACTTTCACTCGGTACATGTTTATACCTAATTATTTTACCAAGAAAGTTTCATCACCCTGATAATCAACCAGTAACCTAATGGATCAGCTGAATCATTTCAATGAGAACATCTAACCAAATTTGATTAACACTAATCAAAAGTTGATTCACCATCTTCATACTATTAGATCTTGAGCCCTGAATAACATCATTTAATATTAGCTAATTTCCCTCAGAATCAAACTCAATTTGATGGGGAAAAAATCTCTTTCTCTTTCTTTTTCTTTTTGTTTTTCTTAATTTCATATTTAAACCAGTTGAAGTATTTTTCTTTACTTTGTCAACTGTTTGTCAGTTTTACTCCCTCAGTATATACACATAATAAGTGATTGCACTCAATTATGTTTACTAATATTGTCGGAACTTAAGGCTCATCAAACTTTTCTCTTCTCTAACAAATTTAATTCTACTTTTCTTATTACTCTCATCTTACTTCATCTTTTGAAATGTTTGTTGTTATTCAATATCAACAACATGACGGTGTAAAACTGACTACACCTTATATCAGGTTTCTTACATCATGAATCTCCTTTTCTTTCCCAACTAATCATTTTTACCTCAACAATTCATTATATAAGAAGCAGAACTAATTCTGATTGGGTTTATGGGCAAGAAAAGAGTAAAACTCCATAATTATCATCATTTTTACTCTCTGTTGCTCTTCTCACTCAAGATCATCAATTGTTGCTTTGTTTAATTTGTGTTTTTCTCTAGGAGAGAAACAATAAGATTGAGAAGGCCAGGCAAGGTTATTGCATCATGTTGATTAACTTGTTTTTGTTTACCCATTTGATTACAGAACCAGTGGATTAGCTAATTTCAGTAGTATAATACCTGATACCATAACTACCTGGAGTATATCAGCTTTTGCGGTTGACAAGCGAACTGGATTGGGAGTTGTCGAAAGACCTACAAAGGTATCTAATTTAATTATTTTTTCAAGATAACGTTGGTCAGTTTAATTGTTACAATTTAATTTTAGACAATTAGCCTTTTCTTTTGCCCCATGCGTAAGAATATAATTCATGGTGAAAATTATTGTGGTACATCAAATTTAGTTAATTAATTTTTAGTGAACTTTTTTTAGGCGTAGGCAAGATTTTCATTCATCGCCATTTAAATATGAATGGTGTTAGAAGATTAATTGTCCTTCCATTTCATCATGAGTTTCATGTAAATGATGATTAATCTTCCTACAAGTAATGTTGATCAAAATAGTCTCTCTCTCTCTCTCTCTCTCTCTCTTGACTTTCTCTTCTTGCGTTCTCTACCTACTCATTAATTATTACTCTATCCGCCAAAACAAAAGTGAAAACTATCAACAAGATTTTTCTCTCGATTTTGATAAATACGATTAATAAAAAGTTGGCCTTGAAAGAAAATCATGAATGAGATTAAAGAATGGGAGAGAGATAGAGAGAGGAAAGCTGAAATTAAATCACTAATTGAGAGCACAATTAATCGTAATTTAAATTATCTCTTTAATTGGACAAAAAAATTTTCGCCCACAATGAAAACAATCGTATCTTTTTTGCTGAAACCTTGTGATTCTTAAACGGAATCATTTTTCATTCTTTTATTTATTATCATTGAGTCATAAAATTTTACAATTTCAAGATACTTTGGTAAAGTAATCAAAATGAGATGTAACTAAAAATATATTGATAAACATTGTTGATTATCAATAACAATTTACTAGAATTGCTTAATTCCTCCTTTCAATGAAAAAAAAACCTAATTTTTAAAATTGGGGATGTAGCTCAGTGGTAGAGCGTTCGCTTCGCATGTGAAAGGCCCCGGGTTCAATCCCCGGCATCTCCAGTAATTTTTTTTCTCTATTTTTATCAAATGTACATAGAGAAAAGTCATAACAATTCAAGAGTATCATTAATATCACCATAAGAATATTTATTTTATGATTGTTTCAACTTTTCTCTCACCAGCACTTGTTGAATATTATTCTCATTTTTCTTTATTATAATCATTCTCATCTTTTTTTTCTCTCTCTCTCTCTTTCCAGATAACGGTATTCAGGCCATTCTTTGTGTCGTTAAACCTTCCCTATTCAATTATTCGGGGCGAAACTGTTGCTATTCAAGTGCTTGTATTCAATTACCTGACTAAACCGAAAGAGGCTCAGGTTACCCTTTTTAATGAGGACAAAGAGTTTAATTTTACCGTTGCAAGCAATGAAATTGATACTTACCTGTCAGATGAATCTCGAAGTCAATTTGTTCAAGTTGCTGGTGAAAGTGCTGCTTCTGTTACCTTTCTTATCTCTACCAATCGAGTCGGAACAATTAAACTTAAGGTAACCGCTTTAGCTGATACGGTTGGTGATGGAATTACTAAACAATTACTGGTTAAACCTGAAGGGAAAACCCAACATCTAAATCGTGCCTTACTTTTAGACTACTCTAAATCTGAAGATTCCTCGAAAGATAATCATTTGGTTCCCCTTTGGATGCCAAATAATGCAATTCCTGGTTCTAAACGTTTATCAGTCTCCGTTATTGGTGATGTTCTAGGAACAAGTTTAAATAATTTAGATGATTTATTGAAGATGCCTTATGGATGCGGTGAACAGAATATGCTCAATTTGGTTCCAAATATTGTTGTTCTTTGGTATCTTAAAAATGCTGGAAAATTGACTGTTGATATTCAATCGAAAGCCATTCAACACATGGAGATAGGATATCAGCGAGAATTGACTTATAAAAGATCTGATGGTTCATTTTCTGCATTCGGAGAAGCGGATAAAAAAGGATCTACATGGTTGACCGCTTTTGTATTGAAAACTTTCCACCAAGCAAAGGAATACATTACCGTTGATACTGATGTATTAAAACGAGCAACTGAATTTCTGATTGAACAACAAGCTCCTGATGGTTCATTCAAGGAATCGGGTGAAATTCATCATAAACCGATGCAAGGAGGTTCAGCTGAAAGTTCTGGGACACTTTCTGCCTTCGTTATGATCGCTTTACTTCAAGATGAACATTTCCGACATTCATATCCGCAAACTTTTCTTAAAGCTGAAAATTTTTTCTCTGAAATGTTGAAATCATCTCAATCCTCTTATGAGACAAATATTCTCACCTATGTGCTAATCCTCATGCGATCATCGATAATGGAATCAGCTTTAGATAAATCAGTTGATAAAATGAAGATTGAAGGTGATGTCAGTTATTGGACTGATGAGACGGAAAAATTGGACATTACAAATAAACAGTCAAGTCACTTTTTCTTACCAAAATCAACAGATATCGAAGCCTCTTCTTATGGACTTTTATCATTCATCGAAAAAAATAAGATTGCTGATGCCTTACCTGTAATGAAGTGGCTCATCTCAAGACAAAATGCCCAAGGTGGTTTCTCATCAACCCAAGATACCGTTATCGCCCTGCAAGCTTTGGCCTCTATCGCTAGTCACCTAAAAAGTTCAAAATTAGCTATTGATGTAACATTTAAATTTGGTAAAATAAGTGAGAAGCAAACAAGTCGTACTTTTGTACTTAACCCGGAAAATGCCCAAGTATTGCAAAAGTTTGAAATGACCGATGCCAAAGGTGAAACGATTCCCGAAGATGTTCAAATTGAATCATCCGGTGTTGGTATTGCAATTGTACAAGTTTCTTGGAGTTATAATCTCGCTGTATCAGCTGAAGAGCCCGCTTTCTACCTTAATCCCCTCTTAGGAAAAGCATCAACAGATAACTTCCTTCAACTTAATCTATGCACTTAGTATGTTACCCTTGATTTTTTCTCTCTCTCTCTCTCTCTCGTTGAGATGATCAGTTAATCGCCCGATTATTTTATTCACTGTTGTTAATTGTTTCATTGTTTCTATTATATTAGTTATAAAGCTGGTAATTCCACCAATATGGCCGTTATGGAGGTTGAATTACCTTCTGGTTATTCTGCTGATGTTGATGCTTTACCAAGCATCAAAAGTCAAGGAAACGGAATCAAAAGAATTGAAAGTCACAATGGTGATACAAATGTTGTCATTTACTTTGACAGGGTAAGTTGAATTTGTTTCATTTTATCATGTGAACGTTTTTGTTTACTTTTTGTTATCAAAACTAATTTCATCTCTTTCTCTCTCCTTTTTCTCATCCATGTTCTGGTTTATGATGATGATTCATTTTCTACTCTTTATTCTATTGATATAAATTAAAGATCACTCGTGAAGAACTGTGCCTTACCGTTCCCGCTCACCGAACACAAAAAGTTGCCAATAATAAGCCTGTTCCCGTTATTTTATACGATTATTACAATCGTCATGAATCAGCTCGAATAATGTACGAACCCAAAGTAACAACAACCTGTTCCATTTGCACAAGCTCTGACTGTCAATGTAACAATGATGATGAAAACGGCATCAAAGGGACCAGTGCTAATCATAAAAGCTCATCATCACCATCAGCAACCACAACAAGAGCAACAATGCTCACCGTTATTTTCATCCTTCAATTGGTTTCTTTTGTCTGTATCATATAATAATAATAACAATGATGATGATGATAATAATCATAACAATAACCACCCTCAATACACCAGGATGAGGATAAAGACATTGAATCAATTTAATTGCTGATTTAATATTAAGGATAATTTAAAGAAAAAGCAACAAAAAAAAGAAAAAGGCAAACAAACCAACAGGATTTTGTATATTTCGCTTCAATGCCAATCTCAATTTTCCAGCATAACTTTTGTTTCTGTCTTCGAAAATTTAATTTCACCATTTAATATATATCTCAACTTTAATGGCCATTCAATATTTGTATTGAATAAAAATATATCATCCTTGTAATCACTTTTGTTTATACATATAATAATATAAAGAAAAACACTAGTCTGTTAATCATCACTTAATCATGATTATCATATCGTATTGAGATCTAATATAATACAATATTTGATATTCTTCTAATACCTTGACGTTTATTAATCTAAAGGAAAGAAAATCGAAAATGATAACGAGATTCTTTTTCTTAATTTCTTTGTATTATATTCAAAGACTAACAAGTAATCTTACCGATAACCTTTAATCTCTCTCTCTCTCTCTCTCTTTCCATCATCATTTCTTAAATATTTTTATCGATTTTCTCTTTTACTTTAAGTTACTCACGCATCGGTGTAATTTATAAGAATAATAATATTACTAATGATGATGATGATAATCTCTAACTCCCTCACCAATGTAGCTGTTGACTTGTGTTTCAATTCAGTTTTACAGACAATGAATCATGTTCATTTTATAATAATTCTCATTTTTTTCATATCTATTGCTTCTCAGTCATCATTCTCATTGGGTATTGATTTTTTTCCCTGCCACTTAATCTTCATTTAAACATAAATACTCAACTTGCGTATGGCTTCAATGAGATAAATGAAATGCTAAGGTATTATCTCTCTCCCTCTCCCTCTCTCTGTTGCTCATTGTCTTTCTTTTTCTCTTTTTATCCTTCTCTTTCTCTCTCTCTCTCTCTCCCTCTCTCTCTCTCTCTGTTTTTCTCCGTCTCGAATGTATATCCTTAGTACTTTTTGTTTTTCAATCTCAATGAGTCGAATCAATACAATATTTCTCATTCTCTCTGTCTCACTCTCTGTCTCTCCTTCGAACTTTTTTTCTCTTTCTCTCGATCTCACTTCGATTTACACTGTATTCCTCACTTTCTAACAGTAAATAGTGTTCACTATCCTGCAGGGAATGAAAGATAACCTACCAGGAAAATAAACCAAAAGTATGAGGATAAAGTTAAAGTCTTTCTTGTGATCAGTGTGTTCAGTGTGTTGTTATTATGAAATAAAAAAATTCCCATCAAAGTGTAGAAATCAAGTGGAATGCCTAGATCATTTCTGGTTAAGAAAGCGAGGCATTGCAGTGATCACCACCACCACCACCACAATAATCATCACCACCACCACCACCACCATAATCTCCATAATAAAGCCAACAATCAACCTTACAGTTCAACTCCATCAACATCATCCTTGCACAATGCTTTTGGTAAGTAAGACCAAAAAGAGCCTCCAATCCCAAAATGATCAACAGTTTAAACTATTCTAGTGATAATTAAACTCATGATGTAAACAAAAACCCATAAAGACTCAAATGAATAAAAGATTCTGAATGAAAGAGACAAAAAAACAAAGTTTCACAACTTGTATCGGATTAGAAATATTCTCAAGAATTATAATATCAGATCATAATCAGAATCAGAATTTCTTGTAACTCAATTAACTTCTTCATGGTAATACTTTGTTTCTTTCTGAGAAAGTTATTCACTGAGCTTTCCCTTAAATCATATCAACAAGATAATACAGATGAATATTCTTATTAGACATGGAAAATGTTGAATATATACTCAACTGAATTTTAATAATATTCTGTTATCGGCTATTATATAATATATATTTACTGTTCGATCAAAGACTATCATCGATTCTACATCAATGATGTTATTGAATTTATGATATTTTTTACCATATTTATGAAGAAATTGAATTCAAATTCAATAGAGTTCATATATTCTTCAATTTTATTTCGATAAAATGTTAATTTCTATTTACTTTTATCTATTATTTTCTTTAGGAGTCGCCTTTGAGAAGCTCAACTTACCTGATGATGAGATTCGTCCCAAGGTTCGAGTTGAACTATGTTATAAAGAGGATAAAGAGCTTGACCTTAGTAAACGACATAATGATAAGACGACAGATCAACTGTTGGTTGACGAGGTAACACTAACATCAACTAATAGTAATAGTAATTTAATCAGTGGCACAGATAATAAGCATCTTCATACGATAACATTAACCTCAGTTAATCCAATATCACTGCCCACACCGGCCAGTACACCAGAACCTTGTAAACCAGTAAGTGATACCGAGATTGAGATTGAATTATCAGATACATGTACCAATACAAGTGATAATGAAACATCAACGACAACTTTAGTCACATTAACATCTAAACAACCCTCATTGGTATCACCAGCGTCTTCACCATCTTCATCCTCTTCCTCTTCATCTTCATCTTCTTCTTCTTCCTCCTCATCTTCTTCCTCAACTTCTTCAGCAACATCCTCATTCTCAACCTCATCAACTTCCAATTCCAAGTCTTCATTAAGCCAAACTCGTAAGCAAATAATCACAACAACAACATCAACACCTTCAACAATCAGTTACACTTATGATACCTTTTTCATGACCGATGGTCGATCACGTAAGAAACAGCAACAGGCTCTTCAGTCAAGTGAAGGAACCATTCTAGCGGATAGTGAACACGACAGTTCAGAGACATTAATCTCAATGGGAACTGGACGAACCTCTGGTAATAATAATAGTAAAGGTGGAGGAAGAATAGGTTGTGGTGGTGGTGGATCAACTCATGGAGGGGATATCAGTGGAAGTGGTAATAATAGTAATAGTGGTTCGGTGGGTAAGGAAAGGCAACGTTATACTTGTAGTGAATGTGGTAAACATTATGCAACTTCATCAAATCTTTCACGTCATAAGCAAACCCATCGAAGTCCCGATTCTCAGTTGGCACGTAAATGTCCAACCTGTCACAAGATTTATGTCTCTATGCCAGCTCTTGCAATGCACGTTTTAACCCATAACCTTAACCATAAGTGCGATGTTTGCGGTAAAGCATTCTCAAGACCCTGGTTATTACAGGGACACATGAGATCACATACAGGTGAGAAACCTTTTGGTTGTGCCCATTGTGGTAAAGCATTTGCAGATAGATCAAATTTACGAGCACATATGCAAACTCATTCAAGTCAAAAAAGTTACCGGTGCCAACGTTGTAATAAATCGTTTGCTCTTAAATCTTATCTAAATAAACATTATGAGTCGTCCTGTTTCAAAGAAATGCCTTCCAATTCAATGCCTTCTTCACCGGCCTCTTCAATATCATCAAATAATTCACATGAAACTAAAACTTCATCTTCTTACTGGGAAAGTGAACGAGAAAGAAGAGATTTCAAAGATGTCATCACGACGGAATCATAATCAACAATAATCATGTGTATATAAAGAGACACGATTACAATCAGACACACACACACACATATATATATAAATACAAACACACCCAAGAATAATATAATTATGCAGAAACTAATCAATGAAGAGAAAAAGTAAAAATCATCAATCTCTTTTTTTGGTAGACAGATTCTCATAGAGGACGAAAGGGAAAATAATTCGAAAAGTTTAAAAAACTTTTTTCCTTCTTCTTTTCATCATCTCTTTATCTCTCTCTCTCTCCTTTTCTCCCTCTCAATGTAAAGTAATTTTCTCATTTCAATCAATTTCATCTTCTTCTTATTCTTCATGACGTTAACACGTTAACAGAGAATTATTTTTTTCTTCTAATTCTTATAATCTCCCAGTTCATCTCTTTCACTCCCTTGTTCTTTATCTTTAATCCCTTTAATTCCTAAACCCTAAATTCTTAATACTTATTCAAATAAGTAACAAGAATTACCTTCAACCTATTATACATACAAATCTAATTACAATCAAGTTCTTTTAATTATTACTATTATAAACTCTTATATATAAATTGTTTTATGGTGATAATGATGAAACCCAATTGATGCAAAGAAACAATTTTAATCCTGATGAGTTTTAGATGAAAAAAACACAAAAAACGATAAACAAAAGTAATAAGAAACTTTTATCAATCAATCAATCAATCATTAACTGTAGTCTGAATTTCAATTCTTGGGATAATTTGTTTGTTTTTACTATTCCAGTTTCCATTTCTTGAATGTCATCATTTCCTTCATATTTGTTTCTTATAAAAAGTTATCTAAATTGGTTTTAGATTATTAATCATTTATAATGTCAACACTTTTATCTATGCATACATAAGGGAGAGAGAGAGAGAGAGAGAGTAGTAAACATGATAATCATGATGAATGAAAAGCTAAAATCAATGAATTCCTATCATCAATTTGATCCAATTTCTGTCCACTAATCTAAGCAAGTTATCAATCATTTAATCAACAATCTATGGGAATATTATATATGCAACAAGGTGAAAATATATGTATACAAAAGCAACAGAGAGATAATGTTACAAGCATTTGAGGGAAACATTTTGACATTCGAGAAATTTGGGAAATAGAAAAAAACAAAAATCGAAAGAAAAAGGAAACAAAAAATTCTGGGAATTGAAACAGACCCAATCACAAACATCCTATGCAAACATAAAAAAATAATAGAAGAAGAAGAAGAAAGTTTATTATTATTATCATTATTATTATGAAATTATATTATTAATAGATGATAGTTGTTTCTCATGAATGAATGTAATAATAAATGCAAATGCAATTGAGAGAGTGAGTAAGAGGGAGAGAGTGTATGTTGCAAAACTCATGATTTCAAATGATAATAATAATCATGGTAATAATAATACACATTCGAGATGGAAAGAGAAAAAAAATTATATGTATTATATTATATATATGAGAGACAATTGGACCTGAATCCAAATAAAACCATAGCAATAATCAAATCCCTCCCATTTAATCAACATCACCTTTTACCTCCCACTCTCCATGGACTCTGTCTATCCATCTATGGACTCTTTGATTTAATGAATCATCCATAATATCTCCCTGTCTCTCTGTCTCTCTCTCTCTCTCCCTTAATACATCACCATCATTTCCCATGTTTCCTCTTCCACCCACTCGAAACTCAATAACTATGAAAAAAAAGGAAAACAAAGAGCCCAAACTCCTCTCATTACACTTTTAATATCATGATAATCAAGCTCATGTAAATATTATGCAAATAGTAATAATCAATCAATCAATCAAACTCATCAATCGATAAAAATATTAAAAAGACAATAAAAAAAATGATATGCAACAGTAATCAACTAATTGTACTAGATAATCAAGGTATGCAAAAGACTAAACACTAAATTGATGATAATAACAATGAAAATAACCAATGCAACGGAAACTGTTTCCTTTTCCTCTTTCACCTCATATCCATTTATAATACATATGCAATGATGAAGGAAATGGGGAAAAAAATGAAATGCAAGCAAAAAACCACAAACAAATCAAATTAGAATTAAATTAAATCCCTTTTCTCTTACTACCTCTTCTCAATTAGATCTAATTATTAGCCAACAAATTTAAGAACAATTTTCAATCTAAACCATCACCATTAGAATGAAACAAAAAAGACTAACCCACACACACAAACACACCCAAGAAACACCACAGCCTTCAAAATACCCACCTAGAGAACCCAACACTTCATTTCAACTTTAACATTCAGTTTGGTTATTATTATTATTATCGCTATTATTATTATCCAAGAAAACACTAGGATGTTAGTTTATGTATCACTTAAAGGTTAATTTAGATAATGATGAGTAGCTGAAAACAGTAACAGCAACAACAACACAATACAACTTGTGGATAAATAAATAATATTGTAGATCAAGCAACAAGTCAACAACAAGAAGCAATAGATAGAGCAACAGTAAGCAACAGAGAGAGAGAGAGAGAGAGAGAGAGAGAGAGAGAAAACTCAAGAGAAAAGAAAACAATAACAATAATGATAATGATAATAAAGACCTGAGTTGGATAATTGAAGTGTAGAAATGGGTGAAGAGGGACATAGACACATAGATCTCAGCATTTATATATATCTACTCACAGAATAGAATAGGAGGGAAAAAAACAATGTTCTGAAAACAGTATTGATGAGTATATATATATAAATATAATATACTCTTCTCAATACTCAGGGTATTCAAAAGCAATAATAATGCTAATGATAAGTTCTGATAACAGTAAAATGGTAAAGCAGACAATCTCGAGCAATAACCTTTAAGTAACACATACATCCACTAATAGTAATAATAATGCACATGCCAATGTAAATACATGCATGTTGTTATCTGTAAGCAAACAAGCTTATAATAAATATACATAAATAACAATACATATACTCATATACTACACAGAATATAAATATATATATATATTATATGTAATAATAATGCTTATCAATAGGAAAAAGGGGGATATTAGATTATGATTTTGATGATATTGAAGATGATGAGGATGTATTAAAACAGAAGGAGTGACAAAGTGAAGCGAGAGAATAAAATAAAAAAAAAGTTCCAACAGAGATAAGTTAAATCTTCCATATGAGATGTTCTGAGGATATTTCATTATTAGTGAATGTTCCTGTTTCTTATACATATATATACTATTACCTAGTTTCTAATAATAATAATGCTCAATACTTATAAATATTATTTGTTAATCAATAGGGTCAACATTCGTATATAAACAAACTCCCACTCACAGAATCGCAAAGTTTTAATCGATCATTTTTATCGATCCATTGGTATGCAAAGTTTTTTTCTCTCTTTTTCATTCTCCATTTTTTTTTCGTTGTTGTTAAGGTTTACACACTAAACTCCATTGATGATAATTTATCAGTAATGATAATGATTCATTTAACCAGTACAATAAGATTATGCATAAACAACTCCTTCTTGATATTCCTTGTTTTCTTTCTTGACCACTGACCCTTTAACCTTTTCAACCCTTTATCCTCTTTCTCTTTCTCTCTTTCTCTCTTTTCTATTTCCTTTCCATTTGATGATTTGTAATGAATTGAATAACCATAATTGACACAAAACGTGCTGGGTAATAAGTGCAAGGAAAATGTTTGGTTGCAAATGAAAAATGCTAAAAAAATGCAAATGAATATAATACATTTTACTGCATTGCACTTGTCGATCTCTCTTCTCTTTTATCAGAAATTACAAGTTGAACAAGATTATAATATATTGATAGTAAATATAAATAAATGATATCCTCTTATCCTACAGAAAACCTCAACCTTTTCACCTTTAAACCCTAAACCCATCTAACTACAGCAACACTACCTTTCACCTCCTACTCTTAATCCTAATCTCTAGCCTTCTCTTTTTTTTATATACAACAATAATAATAATGATAATCTACTTCAGTAGAAATTGAATTCAAACAAAAAAAACAAAAAAAAACAAACAAATGGAAGATGAAACCAACGACAACAATGATAAAAAAGATCCAATGTAACATCAATTGTATGCAAATGCTGAAATGAAGCAACAATCTGACAAAAATCTCTATGTAATTTTAATCTCTTTTTGATTATTTCATTTTAACAAAATACTAATAAAAAAAAGCTCTGTTGTTAACCCTCATCACCAAGAATATAATAATAATGATATTAAAATGATGATGATCCTGAATTAAATGTCTCATATTAAATGAATACACTAAAACCTCAAGAGGTAACTTTTTAAACTTGGAACTCAATTATCATGATGATAATGATGATGTACAAAAAAAAGTTGGATGGACAATTGTTGAAATTACCACAATTGGATGATAATCTAGATAAAAGTATACGATAATATAAATGATAATTCTGACGAGGGAAATGTTTACCTAATCTTTCAAAAGGTTTCAAAGTTTCAATTTCATTAACATTTTAAACTGAATATTCAACAGATAAAGAAATTTATATGTGTATATACAAATATAATTGAGATTCTCATCAATCAAGGAACCTGTGATGATGAAAATTCAAAGTTGATCCTCTTGTAATCTGATTTCATTCATTTGGTGTGATTAGTATTCACTGTTATATTCATATCATTCACTTTCATCCTTAATCTCATCTCGAATTTCAAGTTTTAACTTTTCTTTGCCTATTTCGAATCAACATTCTAAATTATATATTCACCATAAACTTTTTTTTCACTGTTCGTATCTCTAAATGTTTAAAATTTACATGGTAATTAAAGAGTCAAGTTCAAGTTTAATTCAATTAATCAATCATATATTATTGCAAAAGCAAATATTAAATTTACTTGATTTACAATTAAAGTGTATTTTCCAACTAGAGATATTCAATTAACTTCCAATGATTTGAAAACTGAATCATCTGATAATGATAAGATTGAGAAAATCTTTCATCGGATACTCACCACGATTCTCAATTTCATGATTCATATTCATGTTCATTAGTTTCATCGTCTTTTTTTGTTTCACAATTTCCATTCAATTCTGGCTCATAACTTTATCTCATGAATGTCATTACTTTTATCATCATTCATTACACTATAACTTGATTAACTTTCTCATTATTAATTTTTTCTTCTCTCTCTCTCTCTCTCTCTCTCTCTCTCTCTCTCTCTCTCTTCGATGTGTTCCTAAGATTCTGTAAGTATAATAAATACACAATTTACTCATTTGATTAAATAAACAATGTTGACTGTTTAATAACAATTAATCTCAACGCCTACTCATCATCATGATGAAATATTATTAATCTTAAAAGAAGAGAGATAGAGAAAGTTAAAGAGAAACAAAAGAAAGTATGAAATATATCGTAATGATACATGTACTCTCCCTCTCTTTCTTCCTCATGATGATGAGAATAGGGAGATGGATAGAGAAAGAAATTATTTGATGATGAGAATCATGAAAATTATCACCAGGCTATTGTGTAAATGTTGTAATGATTGTGGATCACGGAAAAGTTTAAATCAGTGAATAGATAATATATCATGTTAATATGAATTATGTCAGACATGAGTGGATAATGTTGATTAGACAGAGAGAGAGAGAGAGAGGAAAGTTTATCTTCAATTGTTTATTAGATTGAACTTTTTTCTGTTTTACCTGGAATCTGATATATTATATGAAAAGATCAGAAAATTATTCATAATTTTAATTCGCAACAAATTTTATTTACTCAATTGATTCAATTTTTGTTTTCGTTTTTGAATGAATCTTTTGTCACATTATGATTAAGGTAATTTTCATATCTGAAATGATAAATCAATTGTAATTTATTTTATTCATCATCATTCTCGTACAAAGTATCCAAAAGCATCAAGATGAACGAAAAGACCAACAAATAAAAAGGAAGAGAATGAAAAGACAAGAGAAGAACTGAAATGATCAAATAGGAAGAAGATGAAAATGATGATGATTCAAACATGATCACCATGTCTTCTATTTTATGATAAACATTAACCAGAAACTTCATGGAGAATCTGTTATCTACGGGCTCTTGGAGAAAAAAAAGAAGAGAAATGGAAAAAGAATTAGGCCAACATGGTTAGATAAAGACATTTACTGAGATAAAGATGAAGAGGGTGGGAAGAGGGAGGCAAGGAAGAGGAAAAACTGCAGGAGTCAAAGTGATGATTTCTTTTCAGTAAATGATTTAGATCATCATCATCATCATCTTGTCTTTTCGTTGCATCATTTTGGCTTCTCTTTTACTCCTTTAACAGTATAGCCAGCGAAACATTTAACCCATCATTATCTCTCCCTCTCTCTTTCTCTCTCTCTCTCTTCATTTTTTCATCATCCTTTTGCCTTTTTTACCAAGATGTTTCCGTTGACAATTTATCGTCACCAACATGAGTAGTAAGACAAGGGGAAAGAAAGAGAGAGAGAGATGATGATGATGATGATGATGATGTGGATGCACAGTCTTACAAGATTCAAGATCCCATGTTGAATGTTTTGGATGGTAAAGTTAGAGGGAAAAAAATCTCAACATTAATCTAACTGTACCTTCTGTAGGATAATCATCATTATCATCCAAAGGAAATGCATTTTAAATGTTCAGATGATTGCTGATTCCATTCATTTTGAATACATCATTGATCATCTATCGTTTACCATGAATATCATCATCATCACCATCTCTTTACTGATACTGATGTTGATCATCATCATCATCATCATCAAGATAATCATGATAATAATCAATAAGAAATCATTCTCATCATTTCCATTCACAAAGTTATGCAAAAATTTTCTTGTGGTCCACAAATAGAGAAGTGGGAGGATAAAGAATGAATAAGAAAGGAGGTGGAAAGAAAAATGAACAATCATCTGATTGACAAAAGAAAATGCTTATTTTATGCTTTGATAACCATTAAGATAACGGTTTCTCTCTTAAGATCCAACAATATGTTCTTGATTATTTTCTGTATCATATTCTAGGATTGACCTGAAACTAATGATTCTAAATGTAATTTTCTTTTTACTCTTTGACTTTTTACCCTTCGTAAAGTCAATTATATATTTTGTTCAATTGAATATTAAATAAAATACGGAATATGGAAAATCATCGTAACCGTCATCATCATCATCATCATTATCATCATTATACTAATGGTTTATGGTGAATGTTATGAAATATGAAATGCAAACAACTGAACGACCTTGTTGACCTTACATTCAAATAAAAAGAAAAACTGTTTTTTTTTGAAAATAAAAGAGAGAAAAATTTTCATTCCATTTTTAGGATTCTATTCCATATGCAATATTCATGAGATTTGTTCAGATAAAAGTCATAAATCCACAATATTGCAACAATTTCTTTGCATTTTTCATATGATTGCATAAATTTATACCCACCAAATATCAGCAATCATCAAATTTTGATAATCTACAGATGATGATGACTCGGAA